TGTCGTGAAGACTGTTCGGGGACGAGGGCTGTTCATCGCGATTGTCATTAACGAAAGTACGTCAGCTCCTTGTCTGAAGGAGACCTGAGGCGCCATTGGAGTTGGAATCGTTTCAGAGTACGATGCCTGGATGGTGTGCAACCGATTGCTGGCCAACGGAGTCCTGTCGAAGAACACGCACGGGGATGTTATACGATTCACTCCACCCCTTTGCATAAACAAGGCCCAAGTCAGCATGCATAACATCAATTCTATCAACTTTGCCTGAACCGGTACTTTCAGATCGAAGAAGTGTTCGATATCATCTCAAAGACGATTCAACAAGTGGTCGCTGAGCACAAGTAGATCTCTCGCTCTACGCATTCAAACCTGGTTCGAAACGACAAGCAACAACGTCTTTGTTCGCATTTTCACTTGAACAGTTCAAAGAAGTGTTCTCATCTTTCCATAACATATCCGCCTTTCGCATTTTATTGAAGAGTCGAGGTAGTGCTTTGTTTCGTAGCATTTGCAGTCCCATGATTTCGGGCCAACTCTGTGATGATTGTTCAGATTTCTCATGACAGAATTTGCCATATTTGTATTTTTCATTAAATCTTTTGATGAGCATTTAATGACCACATTGCTCACGGCCAGTGGTCGTAATAAGGGCAAGCAGACCTAGCTCTTTTGGACAGGGAACTGTATGTTGCAGGAAGCAAAATGCCAAATTTGTCCTCAATGGGAATGACTGCATCTCTATTGCTTTCCTGGGAAGAATTCGGTCACAGTTCTGAGAGTGAGAAAACATTGGCAAGGTGACTGCTTGACAAAATGCTAATTTATGTGTTTTTATTAGATCCTTCCTATCGTAGAAAGCGGATAATCTGCCATGAACGGCCCTTTCCTCAATTGCACTGTACCTTTCAGGTTTTTGGCCACCTTCTTTTCGCTGCGCTGTACCGATTACAGTCAGCAAAGTTTTCCATACGTATCGAATGTCGTTCTTTTCATCGTAGGCACGCCGATAGGACATCAGTCTGCTCGAGCATGTATCCTTCTCGCCCTCATTTACGTCTCCGTCCTCAGGAAATAGCACAATTTCTTACGGATATGTAGCTTCCAGCCTTGGAGAAGAAATAGAAGTGTACTATTTCGAGAGTTATCCTTGAATTGGGATTTGTTCACGATGACCATCCTGCTGTCCGAGGGACCCTCAGGTTAAGGTCACTGGAAGTCGAGCCCATAGGAGTAACGACATTCGCTGTGCATCGAAATTGTCAGGCAGTAAGGTTAAAGGAATCTTGCGCGGAAAATTCTTGCACTCTTTCCTAACATGAATATGTCAGTTGTGATCACTGGAAATAGCACACAAAGTTTCACGCATGAAGATTCGGTTTCTGAAGAGAAACAAACGTACAAAAACTACACGTTATGGACCATCGAAGGACCAGGAGGCAGAGCCAGGCGAGGCATGGAAAGAAGACGGCGTTTGGCCGGCTACGTACCAGGCGACGCAATGAGAGAATCGGGTTAAAGCGCGCGATTTCGGAGAGTGGAGACAAATCGATCGATGGAATAGGATGGAGTAGAAGTGTAAGATGTGAATGCAACGAAGCAGAAGGCCAGAAAGAGCTTCTAGTGAATGCACTCCAAGAACCAAGTTTGAGCATCCCCGTCGCCAGCATTCGTGAAAGACGTCCGTGGGCAATTCGAACGCGTAGCAGCCTTTTCGAGTTTTCGAATTTCTAATCAAAACGAAAGCAATACTTCAGTTCTTTTCACTATTATCGTGGATAATGAGTCTCAAGCCAGTGATTTATGGCTGAAATAGAATCATGATTTTTCCGCGCAAGATTCCTTTAAAGGTTGCACATCATTGTTCCACATGGAAATCACTGTCATACAGTGAAGGCTCGTCGTATCCGTGCTTTAATGCCGCCTTGCTTTGCTTTTGATTGACAGCGACGTGAGCCGTGTCCCTTGCAGTGAAATTGTCATCGTGAACGAATCCCAGCTCTCTGTACCTCTTATTTCGACATCTGTCTCTATGAATCCTTCGCCCTAGCAGAGAGGACCTTTATTTTACGTGTTTCCGTAAGTGCCTTATTTATCTTTTTCTTCGCTATCTTTCAACTATCTATGCCGTCGCCATCTACTCTTTCATTTTCGAATTAGAAACATAATGACAATTTCCATCTTCAGCTAAACACAGTGCCTCTTTCTTCCCAATATTCATTTCAAGTTATTATCTCGAACACATTCATAATATCCGATCGCATGGGATTAAAGGAAGCGATTACGATAGATCTCAAAGGGGTTTGGAGGGGACGTGGGGGTCTCAATAGTACGCCAATGGCGAAAAAAGCAAAGAAATCCGTCGAAAATAAGCAAAATGGTACCCCTTTGATTGCCCTTTCATTTTCGACCATGGATGAGCGACGGTAAAGAACGACGTTGTTCGGACGTGTTAACCCCGATAGCCGCCATCATGCCAACAAGCATAGTGTTTTGATTGATAAGGCATAACATGGGCAAGATGGAAGATACAGCCGCTAGATGGGAAAAGATCATCCAAAATGAAAAGCCAACAGCAATCAGTCCATCCAGATCATCAACAAAACCAGTGGGCGTCTACGTCACAGGGCGTGGGGGTCGCGTCACTTGGGGGCGGGGCGTCACGCGGGTCCTGCTCAGCAACCACAGCACCTTTCGCCGTGGGAGGACCACACATCGCTTCCTTGGCAGCCAAGTAATTGCTCCGTGTGGCGCAGGTTCTCCCCCGATGCGAAAATTCCTTATCGTAATCGCTTCCTTTAAAAGCAGCGTGAAAAAGATCAAAGTTTTCTCCACGTGCCACTCTACCGCGGTCAATTCGCCTACTGTCTCATTAAAGAGCTCATTCGGGTAGGTGTATGTAAAGAAAATGATGGAAATTGCAGAAACACGTTGTAGGAATAGGGCTGTTGATCGGTCGAGGCGTGACACATCATAAACAAAAGGCAAACAGAGTATACAGTCACGGAGCAGGTTTTGCAGATTAGAGGACTGTAGACGCAAATGGGGATGCAGATGCCGCAACGGTGAGCGTGCATGGTTGCTCTGGGTGTCCGGTTTGAGTCGCGAACGTGGCTCGACCACTGCAGTTGCGAACACAAAGCAAACTCTCCTCTAACGAAAACATCTATAACCTACTTAAAACAACAAAAAATTTCGATGAATTTGTTTTTGATCACCCTATTTTTGCTACAAATAGAAAATAAATGAACATCGAGAGGATCGGCTGCCTATAAGGACACTTACAGAAGAAAACAGATGGCTTCAGAGTAGGGCATGCAGTGTATAAATGATATACGCCACCGCTTGTTCTGGCTATCGTGAGATAAATTTGAGAGTTCTTTTCCCTCATTTATATCCAAAGCAAATTTATACTCATCTTAATAAACCGACAATTTTCATGGAACTTCAAACACTTGGAAACGATGAATTGTGAGCAGGCAGTTCCGAATAGTTCCTTACGTACGTTTTTCCTTACCGCTTTTCCAAGCGCTTATAGCCTCCATGGATAACTTATTCAACAACAACGAAAACAAAATTATGATAGAACTTCAAAAAATACTAGTTATTGTTTATTGTGACTTCTGATCGAAAAAGCGCCTGATATCTAAGGTTAAGAGTGCTCTGAAATTGCGAAATGACTCGAATCCAGGTGTACCGAGTCAACGTTGTTCCACCACGGGTTGACACCTAAACTTGTCCTCTTTGAGCCAAATTAATACGAAAATCGAACGCTCTTCACTTACCGTTAAAGTTTTGGTGTATTCTTGATACGGTCCGATGCCCGTTTGAATCATAGTAGTGGAAAGCGGACACGTGGTTGCGGTGGCCTGCTGCAGAGTTACTACAGCTATTTGAGTAACCGCACCGCCCGCGAGGTAGCCGATCTTTGTTCCACCTATAGAAACAGAGTTTTCGATCCAAATCATATCCCTTTGCAACTTTCATGGAGGTGCGACAGCGCCCGCTCTTGAAATATGAGTACTATCGGCGTTGTAAATAATCGCCTACCTGGAATAGGTTGACTAGTGTAACAATTGGAGATTTCGTCCGGTGAATAGGTGACGGTGGTAGTGACTCCTAAGGTGTTTACGCCCGGGATTTCGGTGAGCGCTTCCAGATACTGTAAATGGTTTGGTAGTCTAGTGGTAAAACTACTACGATAAACCGCTTCACTCACCGCTGCCATCACTTCATTCTGCGCAGATTGCAAAGCTTCTGCTGACGACATCGACTGCCCCGGAAAGAAATTCGTGATTTGAATGGAGCCTGAACGAAAACGTTAAGCTGATTCTGGCAGAGCTGCACCTGTGAAAATGCGATGACCTGTTGGTGCGATCGGCGGATAGTACGTCCATCTTACAGGAGGGCTCACAGTGAATGTGAACGACGGATCCGTGATGATCTCTCCATCGCGGGCGATGTTTGCTAAGAAAAAGAAACATAATAAGGTGCGGTATCTGCTTCAGCTAAATGATCAATTCCGCACCATAACACCCATTGAGATCCCCTTTTTTCTAACGATTATGCCATTGTGTCCTACACAACAATCTACGGACTACCTATGCTTTGGCTTTCTGCTTTTCAGTGTTGATAAGGGTATGTTATCAACTTCCTTTCAAGGGAGCTCCACCCCATTTTTAAAGGATTCTACTGTAAAGTCGGAGGTTGAAGAAGGGAGGTATGCCGAGTCGAAAGGAAGGCGGACCCTCAAGGATGCGGGACGATGACCGTTTCGCAGCGAAGAGTATGCCCTCAGCGGCTTAGCACAGGACCATACCCACGGCGCTCGTGGCTCTGCACGCCTTATGCCGTAACCCTTTGCGTCTGACCCTTGCCGTTTAGCAGAGAGAGCGTTGGCGGTGAAGAGGGCAGCACTTATGAGACTCGCCTCAAGACGGAAATCAAAGGGCAAAGAATGGGTCTCATTACTTAGAGTCTGGAGCGTTGGATGTCAAATGGCCTGCCTTTTAAACTCTTTACCTCTGCCTGATAGTCGAACTGCTACAAAAGTGAAGAGAGAGCAGGGGAAGGCCAGTAAAAAGCGCTAAGTGTTCTCAAAAAGTCTGATATTTTACTTCAACTCACTGTTCGTAGAGCAAGCTTCGGAAGCTACGGTAATATAGGATAGAGCAACTAGTAGGATCATCATGTCGAGTCGCTTTTGGTCAAAAATTTCGCTATAAATGGACTTGGACAGCGACGGTTCTATTTGCATTGACCATAAGCCTTTTGTGAAATGGCGTTAACTATGTTGTTCATAGCTCTTTTAGAGAATGCGACCCGCAAAATCTTCTGTACAGCTGGAGATCGCGGTCCAAACAACCTGACTCATCGAACTGTTTTTACTGGTCAAACATGCTATTAATAGCCCACGCTCAAAGTCATGTCAGATCAAAGGACCCAGCTGAACTCGACAATGCTGAGGAGAGCAGAATCTTCTTTTCCTGCTTTCTTTCTCGAATTTACCCGTTTGATTACGATCTTTAGAGGAAGTTTTCACTTTTTCTGACAACTATCTTATTAGACTCAACAAAGCCAACAAGACAGCTTAAGATATATCAGCCGAGCCACAATTTGATACGGTCCATCCTTGAACCAGGCGCTTGGTAGCAGCCTGTTCTGCCACTTCACCACCTCTGCCCAAATAAAAATTGGAATCAAATTTGATGGGCTCCTTCTTATTGGTATGTTTGATCATGGGACAAAGCTAGTAATCGGTCGCGACTGGACTGCATTTTGAGAACTATGCGGCACAATCTGCCGTCTTGAACCCAGCCTATTTCGTTCATGCTGTGTTGGCTTCGACTTCTGATTCCGATTTTTACTGCTGTATGTCTGAGACAAAATCATTCATTCCAACTTCTGGTGACTAAATTTTCAGAATCTCCTAGTATTTGAATGACTAATCTAGGGCGAGTTGGCCTACACGACGAATTATTGTGGAGTGAAAACTACGAAAACTCTTCTTCCAA